CCTTTGACCTCAACCCTCTGCCAGTGCAGGAGCCCCAAGAACAGGAGGGATTTAACTTCTACTGCCTCCTCAAGTGTCAGCAAACAGCAGGGTCAGGCCACCCTGACAATTTGAGCTTTAGTATTTCTAGTGTGGACTTAACAGAATTGATCCACCTTTACACTCTGCGGAAGACTCCCAGCTTATTGTACAGCCTAAATACCATCAGCACATCACTCAGAAAGGGTCCAAGCAAGGTACCAAGGCAGAAGCACCCACTCTCCATGTTACAGCATCCTGCTCTGGGACCAACCCACTGAGGCAACGTGGGCTTTCCTGGGACCCTCCAAACTCCAGTCTGGCAGGATGGCATGCGAACTCCTGGTGCTAGGTATGTCTGTCCCTTCTTTATCCTCTCAGCATTAAAGAGGCCCTCGATGACAAAGCAGTGCAGCTTTGTTGCTGAGTTCACACTTTGTCCTTTCAACTGTCCTTTTCCTGGCCCTACCAAGTGCTGAAGCACATCACCTTCCCTGGGACCAAGCAGCAGAGATCTGAAGCTCATTCTGGAATTACTTTGCAAATATCTCATCCATACAATAGCTCCACTCCTGGAGAATCTCAGCCTTCCACATGACTTTGAGCTTGGGGCTTTCCAACAAAAAGCGGTTTGTATTGGTGTTTTTCCTCCCTCTTCCTCCAGGAGTGCTGAGGTATTTGAGCACAGACAAACATCTAGCAGCCCAGGCAGTAACAGAGCTCCAGCATTTGTGGTGACACTATGCTGCAGGAGACTATGCACAAAGCACACACATTCTCCATTTGACACAGGGAAAGTCTGAGGGTTTTTTTTTGTTTTTTGAAGGCCAGGTTTCAATTGCCCTCAGTCATTTTCTCCAGCTTAGAACCCAGCTGTTAATTGTAGGTATTTCATCTCAGCAGGGCCGTGAAGCCAGAGCCAGCCCAGCAGAAATCCCACACCGCCAGGCTCTGCAGCAGTTGGCACTTATTGCCTGAATGGAAAGAGCAACAACCAAGCACAAATATTTGAACTCCTCTTTGTTCCTGGTAGGGCTCTTGCAGCATACACGAGAGCAGATTGCATTTGTTTTGGCTGGGATGGAAGAAGCAATGCAGAGTGCCCAGGTATGAGCTGAATGCAGCATGCAACAGAGGCAGATGTTGTCCTGGCTGTACCCACATGCACAGGGCTGGAGCACCAGCATGGATGCTTTTATCAGCCAGGGAGAGCTGCTTCCTGGGGCCTTATCAGGCTGCAGGTCAAGGATGTGTGTTTATCGGGACGAGCAACTTTGGCAGTAAATCTTCTGCCTGTGGGTGTGCACAACTTGATCTGCTACCAGAAGCCACCAGTCACAAACATTTGAGCAGTCCAGACACAGACATATCTCAAATCTGCTCCAGTTTGACCACTAGAACAAAGCACCAGGCAAACAGCAGCACCTTCAGAGCAAGGGCATTTTTCTGCCCTTATTTCAGAGCACAGCACTGGAGGGCTCAGTGACTCCAGCTACATGACCCATTTATCCCCACTTTCACATCCATCTGCAAGTCCAAACATACAACACCATTGCTTGTAGGGCCCATTTGCCTTTACAAACAGTTCCAGCAGGGTCGCCTTGTATTCGTTGCTGTGGAACCCCATGCAAGACACTCACCCTCCCCAAGAAGCCCAGGAGCAGAAGCCCTACCACCTGCAGCCCCAGAGGTTTTGTTCCACTGATAGTACTGCTGCAATTGCAGCAGCCTGTGGAAAAACAAATGCAGCTGCTGGTCAGCGAGTCTGACTGCCTGGCAGGCAGCCCAGGGAGACCAGAAAGAAGGAGACAAAAAAACGCCCTCCATCACACACTGCTGCAGAGGCCCACCTTCTAACTGGCTGCCCCAAACCCAGGATTTCTGGATCTCTGCAACAGGAAGGGGCTGCTCATCTATCACCATTAGAGTACAGGTCCTGAATACATCATTTGCAGCTGAGTTCATTTCCTTTTTTTCCCCTCTCCTTATTGCTCACCCTGACCAAATTTAGTGTGGTTTGCTAATTAGTGTATTTCAGTTTTCATTCTGCCATGTAAGAAAATCCTCTCTACATTCCTGATTGTAACAGGAAAGAAGCAAAGGAGAAAGCTCAATAGCATCTCTACCATTCCAACATAGATGGGCTCACCCAGATGCTGCAGCTGCACAAAGCAGTCCTGTGCTGCAGCACTAGGAACAGCAACCCAAACCTCCAGAAGTTCAGTGGGAAGATGGATAATCATCAATACTGAATTATTCTGCAGCATTTGTCCAAGGACTCCATGCTTCTCTATGCCGAGTTCAAGTGAGGCCAGGGCCTTGCCACAGCCAGGAACAGCAAGGTGCTTTCCCTTTGCTATCAGCATCACAGTTACACCCCAACAGCTCAGCATACACCTGCAGAGCAAGGTGTCCAGCACAAACAAGGCCAGAGGTAGCGTGCACATGAGCACACACGCAGCAAGGACAGGCTGGCAGCCACGTGGCCCTCAGAGTCCGCTGGCAGGTGTTTGTTTGCTCACCCTGGTAACACAGAAAGGCAAGCAGGAAGCAAGTTTGAATTACAATTGAAAGCTGTAATTGCATGGAGAGGCACGGCAGGAGCATGGCCCCTACACCTACAGCAGCACCCAAGGTGAGGAGGCCTGACCCGGGCGCCAGCAGGATGTGCACAGTCACCAGATCTCTGCATGCAGAAATGCATCACATCCCGTCAATGAGATGCTGCTCAGGGGAAGCTCAGTGGCAAAGCAGCACTGGGGCCATCGCCCTTCCCCATGGGCAGCCCAGCATGGATCAGGGTGCAGCTGATGGATGAGCCACTGCAGTGACAGCGCATGCAGACCACGGTTTTCCATTGCATCACCGCTACCTTGCTTGACCCAAAGGTTAGGAATAACAGTCTGCTGGGCTGCCAGAACAAAGCTATTTCGGGACAGGCTCCGGGCTGACTCCCTGCACAGGGCAGCTCTAAGGCAGGCCCAGCAGCAGTCCCAGGAGCAGGAGAGTGCTGGGACATGGCTTCACTGCTGCAGCACAAGGCATATCAAGCACCCAGCACGTGCTCCATTGGACAGAATTAGTACGGCCTTGCAGAACGTTGCCCACCTGAGCATGGCTTTTGCTTAAAGAGGGCTGGGCAAACAGGAATTCTCCCATATACTTGGGACATCAGGAGAAGGAGATTCACTGCTAAACTGCTCTATCCTGCTTCATCTTCTGCACACCCATTTCCAATGCAGCCTGGGAAAGCAGCTGCTGCCCACAGCTGGACAGAGGTCTTAAACTGCACCACAAACATCTGTCAGATCTCATGTCATGGGCATCTCCCTCTGAACAGCTCCATGGAAGCAGGTAGGGAAAAAGAGCAGATGGACACAGCACTGGAAAAAGGGACAGTTAAAGCAGAGAATTGCTGTAAAACATCTTTACTTTTGTGTGCTCAGAAAAACAGAGCAGTTACAAGCTTGGGTTGAGCATAATGATAACATTTCAGAGAAGTTGAAGCACAACAATGCAAGTAAGTTGGCAAAGACTTCCACGGCTGCTGTAGAAATCTCTTCCCACAGCTCTGTCAGAAGACAGGCTTTTGTGGAGCCTCCACAGTTCTTCACAAGCCCTCCTGGGCTGCAGTTAACCCATTATTTGGCATCTTCAGAAACAAGCAAAACCATTCTACAGTTCTGCCCCCAAGTGATGTGAATGTGGGCAGCACGTAGCCCATCAACTCAGAGCAGCAGGGTGAGTACCCCAGCACAGAGGAGCTGCAGGATGAAAACAGTCCCACAACTAGTAAAGATCAATGCCCACATACCACCCAACACCATGATTTTCTATTCCCCTGTCTAAAGCAGCCTCAGATTCAAAGAAGCCATCAGTTTCTCCAAACTGTTTGGAGGAGGGGGATATACTGTTACTGAGTGGCCCCCATATAAGCTCCCTGGTCTGCTCCACAGGCAAAGCATGCCAGGGCCTTCCTGGCTCAGCTCTCTCTGCATTACAGCTGAGCTGGTGATCTGACATTTCCACCCTTTGAAAGTCAACATACAAACAGGCTTCTGCAATCACAGCTGGTGCTTCCACCTCCAAACCTCCTTTTAACACATCAAGTAACTGATCTCAACTGAGACCCTGAGCATTCCAGCTGCACCACCTGTGAGCTGGTGCTGCTCAGCAGACACAGGCTGGGAAGGCTTCTCCCTAGAATGCACATTTCCTCACATGAAGCCCAAAGAGAAGTCACCACAAATCAAGCAGCACAACCCAGAAATCTTGCTGCAGTCCCTTGCACAGCTTATGGAGTTCCATCCCCACCATAACAGAACAGCTCTGGTGCATATGAAGTGCTAAGCACTGGTGAGCTGCTCAGAGCAGGCTGACTGCTGCTCCAGCAACTGCCAGGTCTTGGGGTCGTTTTTTGACTGTTGGGGGTGTGCATCCCCAAGCTCAAAGCTGTTTTAATTAAAACAAAAACAAAACACAACCAACAACAGAAAACCAAACCCAGATCCTTCCTGTATCACTGAGGGACAAACCCACCAGAGCTGGCAGCGTAACACTAAGTTGAGGTTTTCACTGCTGACAGGACTATAAATCTCACCAGAGGTTTAGGAGTTTTACTTTATTTCCAACTGAAGACCAGAAAACTGCATGGAGGATGGGGAGCTGTGCTGGCAGCTCCTGCAGTGGCTTTGTAGCTCCTGGCCTTGCAATTTCAACTTGTACTGCAGAAGACTCTGCTTCCCAGTTAACAGCTCCAGCACATGCCTACAGAAATCCCCCACGTACCATTCAGCTTTAATGGCCTCTCCTATTCTTAGCACAAGATTGTATTCTCAAAGCATGTTGCTCTGCCATGTATTCCCTGCTTTTGGCTGTCCTATACTCCTCCCTAGGCTGTACCAGCCCATGAGGGCCAGCCAACTGCCCCACACAGAAATGGCAGCAAAAAGCAAGTAAGTGATCCACAACACTGAGCTTACCAGGAACTGCTGGAACACAGAGAGCCAGGACAAGCTTCTTGCACAAGGCATCCCCCAGGCTTGCTGCTGGGTTCAGCCTGGTCCCACACCACGTGCACCTGGCAGAGGAGATGGAAAAAGCAAAGTGGTGGGGCTGGAGGCAGGGCTGGGATTTGTCTCCTACAGAGTCACCTGAGAAGCAAAAAAACATCTCTAAAAGCTATAGCAAAGCAGAAAACTGCTACAAGCACCTACCCACCTGCTCATATAGGGCATTAAGCTGAGCTGCTCCACCTGAGATATGGGGCTGAGCCCCAGCACCTGCTCTCCTGCCCACAGCTGTGCAAGGGCAATTGCTGCTTAAACCTGGGGGAGAGAACTTTCATCCTTAAGCAATCAGAATGACTCGCTTTAGCAAAACCTCCTGGGTAAGGGCTGAGTGTTCCCTTCCCCGGGGCTGCGGGAGGCAGCAGCCCATGTTACACACACACCTGATGTGTGATTTGAGTTAGAGGACAGAGGAAACCTTCTCGCAGCTTTATTGTGTTAAGACGTTGAACACCACGTCATGTCTGAGATTGTTCTTAATGTTATTATTCTTACTTTTAAGTCAGACGTTGCTATAGCTTTGGCTTTTGAAAAATGCTTCTGCCCACCTTACTTTTTCATCTTTTTCCCTTTTTCTTTTCGTTTTTCTTTTTTTCTATTTTTTTTCTCTTCTCTCTGTCTTCCCTCCCTCCCCGCCCCGCTCCGCTCCGTGCTGTGCCGGTTGGGGCGGGCAGTGCCGGGGCTCTGCTGCCCTCCGGCGGCCACACGGCTCCGTCCCGGGGATGGACACACGGACGGAGCCCCGGCAGCCCCCGTTTGCTGCTCAGCCCCGCCGCCCTGCTCGCTTTTGGATCAAAAGCACCGTGGTTTTGGTCCCCCTGCAGCATCCCCACGAGGGGAAATGTCAGGGTGGCTCTGTCCAGCGCAGTGGCACGATGACCCAGTCCACCTCAGCAGGTTTGGCCTTGGTATGTCTGCATCCTGCTGGATCAGAGGAGCCATTCTGCCACCTTGCCCTCCACCGGCACCAAAGGGATGTCCCGGCACAGCCGAAACCTTGGGTTCCTTCCCCGCCCATTGCTGAGAGCTCTTGGTACAACGGTGTCTTTGTGCTGTGGACATCTGCTCCCGGTGCCCCGGCCCTCCAGCTGTGACCCTCGGGCAGCACCGACCCCGCTGGCCCCACTCTGAACCAATGACCTTCCAGGGAGGCTCTCTGGCTGCTATTTCCATCCCGGGGAGTGTGATCATCTCACATCAGCACCCAGGGCTCACACAGCAGTATGGCAGCACAGCAGGCGTCCCGGTTGGCTTTTGTCCCACTGCGTTGGGTACCAGCAGCATCACAAGCGTGCTGCAAGATAGGAGCTTGCACTGGAGGCTCAGCAGGATATTTTTAGTGTCAGCAGGGACCAACAGGGGACAAAGGCGGGCCTGGCGTGATCATCACCCAGCATGGTTACATGCTCTGTGGTTGACTGTGCACCACTTGGGGTAGATTTCAACGGCTTTATACTCTGAACCCAAGGATACATTCAATAAGACATTTACTTGGCATAGAACAGGGCTGGCCCTCCCTGCCTGCCCTCAGCTTGAGCAGCACATGGACACACTGGGACAGCTCATCCTTCAGTGCAGAACTACCGAGTGCCCTGTCCATTCAACCATGAGTCACAATAACAATATTTCGTACTCATCTTCTCAAGGGGAACATTAAAAGCCACTGAACTGTTATTTATTATCTGCAGCCAGAGTCAGGAGGCAACTGTGTGCTCCTCCTGTACTGATGGATGTGTCCAAAAGGACCTCAGAAAGAGCCTGATCCAGAACTGCATCATTGAAAGGATGCTACCATCTGAGCAGGCAGGGATGCACCAGCGCAGCAAAGACCACCCCAGGCGGTCACTGTGGCCTCACTGTATAAGGGAGACCAAGTCAAGGACCATCCTAAGGCAGCTCTTGATCTCACATTTCACTCCAAACCTGTGGCTGAGGCACCAGGAGGAGCTTAAGGCTGATTGCATGCATTCCTCCTCCCCACAGCCTGGCCTCTGTGGTGCATCCAGCTATGACAGCAACACAAATCCATCCATTTCAATCCCTCCCAAAATGTAAAACAGCATGAGGCAGAAGCTCCAAGAGCAGAGGAATTCCGGTGCAGGGATGAGGCTGTTGGGGTGACGTCATGGTGTCCTGTTGGTAAGGCTGTGCCCAAGCCTGAGCAGCCAGCACCTTACTGAAGGTGGCAGGCTTGATCCAGCAGAGGACTGGGAGCTGTGTGTGTGTAGGCAGCCAAGATTTATTAGAGAAACTGTTAAACTCAAAAGACTTGGATACAAAGATAAGCTGCGTTGCCTTCTGAAAGGCAAAGCTGATTCTGACCTGTAGAATGGACACAGGTTACCCAGACATCAGTTACCATGGCGGATTGGACAATAAAACAATCACCTTGCAGTTAATCTTCGTGGTGTCAGTTTCTTTCTACCCAGTACATCCAATGGGATGTGTATGTGATGGCAGCACAGCCCGTCCTGCTGCCACCACTGTCCCCACTCGACCACAGCAGTACTTCCCTCCCTCCTCTGCAGTGTTTGGCATCCAAAGCTACACATCTCTATGGAACAGTTCTAAGTGCAACACTAGGCTGCTTTCATCTTCAGCTGGATGGGGGAATAAGAAGGTGCAGAACTCAAAATCTGTTATTAGACCTTTAACTAAAACTAAAAAGAAAAACAAACAAAATAAAAACAGCCACTGTTCACTTCTCATGGAGAATTCAAAACCTTCACCAGCATGTTTCTAGGAATGTTTTTCTGCTTGCACCACTCAGCTGCATGGGATCGCATCCACCCGTCGTCCTGGAGCACCACTGTCCTCTCCGCAGGGTGAGGTGTCATAGGACCACACACAGCAGTGCTGCAGCCCAGAGCAGCGTGAGGCCGGCCGGCAGTCTGAGCACAAAGCAGGCCTGCAGAGGCTCGGAGGCCGAGGTGCAGGAGCAGACCTCATAGCTGTTCTCTGAGCGGCTCTGGTCGTGCTGCCCGGGCTTGGAGCGTGCTCCAATCCTGCTGCTGCCCGCTGCCTCCGGGGTGTCCGCCTGCATGTCGCTGCACACCAGCCAGTCCCTGGCGATGGACTGGGGGTAGCCAGGCTCTGCTTCCAGCTCGCTGTCCAGCACTCGCCAGTACTCCTTGCCCCTGAAGAAGTAGCTTGCACCTGGGAAAAGAGATGTTTCCTTTACCAACACTTTTTTTTTGCCCAGGTTTTCACGCATCTAGCTCTAAATCCAACCACACTCTCAGTGAAGTGCAAACCAGCAGATATCAGGAGACAAGTCACCACAGAACAACATCAGCTGTGTTCTGCTAATGAGACTGAGTTATGTGGCACTCAGGCACTTTTGCTCCCTGCCTGCAATGATAGTGTTGCTCAGTGAGCAGAGGGAGCTGTGGCTCAGAGCCTGCCTCTCTTTCTGCAGCTTTTGGATGGAGGAAGTGCCAGCTGACATGGGACATGGGACTGTATCCCAGAGCATTGCTTTTTTCCTCACTTTTTGGACCCATCTCACAGACTCACCATCTGACCACCTCATAGCATCATCTAAAGGGCTCGGTATTCCCTTCCATGGAATGGTCTCTGAGGGGTACCCGGCATCCATCCTCCTCTCGTGGTCGTCGTAGCGCCAGCAGAGGTTGTCCTTAAAGAAATAAGTCTTGTCATTGTGGGCCCAGGAGAAGGCAGCATCGATCCCTCCCGGCGGCAGCCCAAAGTCCGAGATGGGCCGTGGGTATCCTTCCTCCACGTTGTTGTCCTTGAACACCCAGTATCTGTCCCCTGAGGAAAGAAGCGTGGAGAACGATCACATCAGTTTCGCAGCCGGGGCTGGCCTTCCCTGCAATGAACCAGTACTTTGTTACATATTGCCATGACAACCCTCTGCTGGGCTCTTGGCACCAGATGGGGTCGGAGGGGAGCAACCCGCTGGGACAGCTGCTGAGCTGGAGCTGGGCTACCCAGCTGGGGGTCCTCATGGTCAGAGAACAGGTCCGCATCCCTCCTCTCCCACTTCACATCCTGCCACGGGGACAGGCACTCTGTCAGCATGAGGTCTCTGGGGACCTGATGCATCTGCAGCACTCTGGGAGACACCTGGCCTGCTTTAAAGGGCAGGCTTTTCCCTTCATTTTCTAGAAAACGTGAAGAAGCACTTAAACAGCAGCAGAGACTCGAAAGCCAGAGTAATTTGTGTGCTTTGGTTTGTATCCAGGGATCGATGAAACGATGCTGGAGAGTGAGAATGAGGCAGTGTTTTATGGCTGGAGAGTAAACCTCTCGTTCCATCATCACAGGCACGATGAAGAGCAGCACTGAGGGCTGCGTGGGAGGGCAGGGGGAAGATAAGGGGGCAGTCTGGATCCGGCATGCATCGAGGGCTGGGGAAGGCATGGCCCTGCTGAGAGGTCTGATGGGGTCCCAGGGTCCCCGGGGGAAACGCTTCCCTGAACACCGAGGTTGTGTGAGATCCTCTACTGAGCCCTGTACAGCCTGGCTCTGGTGATTCAGCACTTCTGAAATCAGCAATTCACCCCTGCTTGCAGCCCAGCAGCAGACAAAATGCAATTTCCAGCACTGCCAACTCCACGGCCGCTGCCTGCCTGCAGGGTCCTGTGCTGGCACAGGAGGGACATGCTGGGGCAGTGGCATCATGCAGCTTCAGCCATCGCCGTGGCACACCTGGGATGCTCAGAGGATATTGGTTTAGGACCTGAGAGCTAATCTCTCTCCTCCAGCTCTTGCAGGAGAAACTGGAGAGCTCTTTTTTTTTTTTTTAAAAAAAAAAGAGAGGATTATATCATTTATGGTAAGAAAAAATAAAGTAGCAGAAATATAGCTAGCAAAATCAACCTCTGCAGGTTCTCATTTGTGTCCCCTCTGTGATTTCTTTTTAAAAAGACAAAAGGCAGGCTCTGTAAGGTGTGAGCAGAGGGTGTTTTATCCTTCTGTTTCGCTCTCAAAAAGCATAGATTTCCATTAGGTTTGGCTGAAGTGTGATTTCCCCCACGTCCTGCAGGACACTCTGCCTGCCTTCCCCTGGTGCCTCCTGCCCCGGTGTGGGCAACACCTGACCTGTGCTGGCAGAAGGTGAGCCCTGGGGTCTCTGCAGGAACAGAGCCATGCTGCATGGCTGTGTACTGGGGGCACACACCGTTGCTTGCTCTCACCTTTGAAGAACACAATCTTGTGGTCGCTGGTCCTCTCATAGACGGCGTCCACGCTGTCCAGGTTGAGGGGCAAGCCCCGCCAGAACCGGTGGATCTGAGCCGGCTGGAGGGAGACCAAGTGCTTATTGCGGGTCAGTCTCCAGAAGTACTTGCCTGGAGGGACAGAGGGCATTACTGACCTACCCCAGTGCCCACTGCCGTGCAGGACGGGCCGGCACCACGCCATGCATCGGCAGAGGGGAGCGAAGCGTGCGAGACAGGAGCCACAGGCTCTACAGAAGCAGCTGCTGGCACTTTGTGTTTCTGGCAGCTCTTAGAAGAAATCCCTCTTCTGGGGGATCAAAACAACCCCCCAGCACTGTGCTGCCTGGGACTCAGCCCGGCTTTCTGCAGGGTGCTGATGGTGCT